AGCGCCACTCATCCTGTGAGTGGACACACCGCCATAGCAGCATGTACAACACTCCCCAATAGGAAGAAAACCCGTTCTTGTCTTCGGTCGTATAAATTCATCGAATTCAGCAATATTTTTACTTTTTCATCCCTTTGGCTTTATGTGAGTTAAATCCATTAAGGCTTTAACGTGTCGCTCTGCTTCACACTTCAGTTATAGAGTGACACTGTTGATTGATTGATTGATTGAATTAGGGCTCATTGCCGTATGACGCCGGGATGGGAAGAGGTGCAAAGATGAACATAAAAATCATTCTTTTCCTTCTCAATGACTTTTAAAATAAAATACAATATTTAAAAAACGGTGTAATTAAATGCCTTTGATGAAATAATTAAAACCAATTATTTAAACCCACTCACTTTGCCAACTGCCCACTGTAAATCACCTTTATTAAAAGCTAAAACCTTTGCTTGAAAAGAACAATTAAAAACCATGGAAGGCTAACAGTGTTATGCGTTATATGTTAGCGAATATATCCATATATGTTAGCGAATATATCCATATATGTTAGCGAATATATCCATATATGTTAGCGAATATATCCATATATGTTTTATCTGTGCCGCCACCATCAGAAATTTTATCAGTTAGGAAACCGGTTCAACGTCCACTAGACTCATCAAACTCAACATCCACCAGGGTCGTCAAACTCAACATCCACCAGGGTCATCAAACTCTACATCCACCAGAGTCATCAAACTCTACATCCACCAGAGTCATCAAACTCAACATCCACCAGTCATCAAACTCTACATCCACCAGAGTCATCAAACTCTACATCCACCAGAGTCATCAAACTCTACATCCACCAGAGTCATCAAACTCTACATCCACCAGAGTCATCAAACTCTACATCCACCAGAGTCATCAAACTCTACATCCACCAGAGTCATCAAACTCAACATCCACCAGCAAGCATAAATCCACCGACATAGGTGGAATTCTATTAACTTTCAGCCAAATCCATACCTTACCATAGGTAGGGATGGCCTGCTATGCCGTTACATGTACTCAAACTATTAATATGGGAACACAATGAAAAATTTTCTCTCTCATCGTGTAGCTGCATAAGTCATCCAGAATGGATGGATGACCGCCGTGGATGGCTATATAGTGCCCAACCGTTTTCACAAGGGCGAGTCTGCCGCCAACCTTCTCTGTACGGCACTCAACTCCTTCAAATTCATCTTAGTCTCTCTAAGATGAATTTAATGAATTTGACGATGAATCTACCACCTAAGACCCCCACTACAGGCTACTGCTGTTGCTGTTTTAAATTCTGCCACTCGGAACATAAAATTCCAAGTAGCACGGTCTATGGTGAGCCCGTAACCCACTACAGGCGTCGTGGGCTCCTTTAATCAGCCTGTCAGAACATAGGTGAGTCTGAGGATGTGAGTCTACTCACATCCTTCCTTACCTATCTACACATTTGTTCATCTACCCATAATAAAAACATGCCCCTATCTCTCCCCAAATGAAACTTTTTTTTTCAACGATATCTAATCATGGATTAAGTCTTGTGTGAAAATTTAATTTCAGCGATGAAACAAAACAAAATTACCAAAAATACATTCACCCAAAAAAATACATCCTTGCTAAAAATATATAAAAATATAGTATTCTTAAAAACTTGCACCAGTTTTACATAACTGCGAAATTAGCTTTTTCACTGTTACTTGGTTAGCTAAATGAGCCGTGAGGTTCAGTTCCTAAACACATCATGTGTGTCTACAACCTTTTCCAATTCTACCCACAGGATTGGCATGGGGTCCACTACCACCCACAGGATAGGTATGGTGTCCAGTACCACCCACAGGATAGGTACGGGGTCCACTACCACCCACAGGATAGGTATGGTGTCCACTACCACCCACAGGATAGGTATGGGGTTCACTACCACCCACAGGAACAGGCATGGGGTCCACTACCACCCACAGGAGCAGGCATGGGGTCCACTACCACCCACAGGATAGGTATGGTGTCCACTACCACCCACAGGATAGGTATGGGGTCCACTACCACCCACAGGATAGGCATGGGGTCCACTACCACCCACAGGAACAGACATGGGGTCCACTACCACCCACAGGAACAGACATGGGGTCCACTACCACCCACAGGATAGGTATGGGGTCCACTACCACCCACAGAATAGGTATGGGGTCCACTACCACCCACAGGATAGGTATGGGGTCCACTACCATCCACAGGATAGGTATGGGGTCCACTACCACCCACAGGATAGGTATGGTGTCCAGTACCACCCACAGGATAGGTATGGGGTCCACTACCACCCACAGGATAGGTATGGGGTCCACTACCACCCACAGGATAGGTATGGGGTCCACTACCACCCACAGCAACAGGCATGGGGTCCACTACCACCCACAGCAACAGACATGGGGTCCACTACCACCCACAGGAACAGACATGGGGTCCACTACCACCCACAGCAACAGACATGGGGTCCACTACCACCCACAGGAACAGACATGGGGTCCACTACCACCCACAGGAACAGACATGGGGTCCACTACCACCCACAGGAACAGACATGGGGTCCACTACCACCCACAGCAACAGGCATGGGGTCCACTACCACCCACAGCAACAGGCATGGGGTCCACTACCACCCACAGGAACAGACATGGGGTCCACTACCACCCACAGCAACAGACATGGGGTCCACTACCACCCACAGGAACAGACATGGGGTCCACTACCACCCACAGGATCGGCCTGAGATGCATATCAAACAATCAAAATGAATCCGAGAGGAATGCCTCCCACTAAATTGGTCGCCCCCCCCCCAACCAGTACAATCCACAGTGGTGTCTCAGAGTGCCAGAGTGCCAGAGTGCCAGAGTGCCAGAGTGCCAGAGTGTCTCAGAGTGGCAGAGTGTCTCAGAGTGGGTATTGTGGCAGGTGGTCAGGGTCGGTACAAAACCCTCCCACTCTTCATAGCTTCGTAAACCATCTCTGTACCCCTGTGGTCTCCATTTGCTGTTATCTCACTGGACCCCGGCTTATCTGCTGTTATCTCACTGGACCTCGGCTTTCATAGACGGTCTTTATTCATGCTCTCTCCTGTCTCTGTATAGGTCGTCCTCTATCAATAAAGATACGCGTCGGAGTTTCTACAGACATGTAAAGGTTTGGTTTGGTAAGGCTAGGTTTGGTAAGGTTTTGTTTGGTAAGGTTAGGTTTGGTAAGGTTAGGTTTGGTAAGGCTAGGTTTGGTAAGGTTTGGTTTGGTAAGGCTAGGTTTGGTAAGGTTTTGTTTGGTAAGGCTAGGTTTGGTAAGGCTAGGTTTGGTAAGGTTTGGTTTGGTAAGGCTAGGTTTGGTAAAGCTAGGTTTGGTAAGGCTAAGTTTGGTAAGGCTAAGTTTGGTAAGGCTAGGTTTGGTAAGGCTAGGTTTGGTAAGGCTAGGTTTGGTAAGGCTAGGTTTGGTAAGGTTTGGTTTCGTAAGGCTAGGTTTGGTAAGGCTAGGTTTGGTAAGGTTTGATTTGGTATGGTTAGGTTAGGTTTGGTAAAGTTAGGTAAGGTTAGGTTAGGAAAGGTAAGGTTAAAGTCAATGTAACATATGGCATTACTTTAGGTATTAACGCCCAAGATACACACACACACACACTCATCCACTCTGAAGAACAGCACAATAAACCACTCAATTCATCTACACAATTCATCACTACATGAGCTTCATGCCGCCATTTCTTGGTGTAAATTAGGAAGATTTTACAGCGAGGAATTTATTTAGGTTCTCTATCTCTATATATATAAAAATCGACTAGCTAAGGCAAGGAAGTATACCTGGACCTCAACAAGTAGAGGCCAGGAGGTATACCTGGACCTCAACAGGTGATCAACACTCTTCAGCAATGCAAGAGGGACTTCTTGAATTTAAGAAGTGTGTTATATCAAACAGTCCTGGAGAACTTTGATACGATAACTTAAAGAGATGAAGGAAGAACTTACATAAATTAGACGTACCTAAGGGTACGGATGATGATAAAATGAGCATTGCACCAATTACATGTAATCCCATTACAAGAAATACCAGTATGTAATCATTATGCCATAAAATCATCATTCTCCTCTCGGTAAGTCATCATTCTTGTCCCTTATTCTTCCCTGTTAAAGCATCATTCTCCTCCTCTTCCTCGTCTTTCACAGTACAATCCACAGCTAGTTTGATTCATCACCTTTTAACAATTTCTTCTGTAAACATCTTTATTTTTCCATCCTCCTCCTTCAACTCCCTCTTCTTTGACGCCGCTAACAACACATCCCCATCCCACTAAATTCCCTCCCCGACCCTCCCACTACACCCTTTCCAGAATTAATACATCCCCCTCCCACTACACCCTTTCCAGAATTAATACATCCCCCTCCCACTAAATTCCCTCCCCACCCCTCCCACTACACGCTTTCCAGAATTAATACATCCCCCTCCTACTAAATTCCCTCCCCGACCCTCCCACTACACCCTTTCCAGAATTAATAGAGGAAAACTCTCTAGAGTGACACGAGAGGAAGACCAGAGAGAGAGAGGGAAAAGACGAGAGCATAAAACGTTAAGGACCTTCGTAAAAAGCTAGTTTATAGGTCACTTTCCCTCCTGGCTCGTATATTACCCGTGTTAATGCCGGTAATCTGTTGGGAGAGCGACAGAGGAATCTCTAGTTGTCAAAATGTGTGAGAAGTTAATGTCTGGTTCAAAATTTCCGCTTGGCCGCTCTCGGTCAAGGGCGATCCTCGGGTCACTGGTGACTTGGAAGACCTGACTTCAGACTAGGAAGTCCTTCAGACTAGGAAGTCCTTCAGACTAGGAAGTCCTTCAGACTAGGAAGTCCTTCAGACTAGGAAGTCCTTCTGACTAGGAAGTCCTTCAGACTAGGAAGTCCTTCAGACTAGGAAGTCCTTCAGACTAGGAAGTCCTTCAGACTAGGAAGTCCTTCAGACTAGGAAGTCCTTCAGACTAGGAAGGTCTGGCTTCAGACTAGGATGACCTGGCTTCAGACTAGGATGACCTGGCTTCAGACTAGAAAGACCTGGCTTCAGACTAGAAAGACCTGGCTTCAGACTAGGAAGACCTGGCTTCAGACTAGAAAGACCTGGCTTCAGACTAGAAAGACCTGGCTTCAGACTAGAAAGACCTGGCTTCAGACTAGGAAGACCTGGCTTCAGACTAGAAAGACCTGGCTTCAGACTAGAAAGACCTGGCTTCAGACTAGGAAGACCTGGCTTCAGACTAGAAAGACCTGGCTTCAGACTAGAAAGACCTGGCTTCAGACTAGAAAGACCTGGCTTCAGACTAGGAAGACCTGGCTTCAGACTAGGAAGACCTGGCTTCAGACTAGGAAGACCTGGCTTCAGACTAGGAAGACCTGGCTTCAGACTAGGAAGACCTGGCTTCAGATTAGGAAGACCTGGCTTCAGACTAGGAAGACCTGGCTTCAGACTAGGAAGACCTGGCTTCAGACTAGGAAGACCTGGCTTCAGACTAGGAAGACCTGGCTTCAGGACTAGGAAGACCTGGCTTCAGACTAGAAAGACCTGGCTTCAGACTAGAAAGACCTGGCTTCAGACTAGAAAGACCTGGCTTCAGACTAGGAAGACCTGGCTTCAGACTAGGAAGACCTGGCTTTAGAACGTGCAAGCCACTCACGGGGGCTTATCAACAACCTAACAACCCATAACGAAGGGAAGCACCCAGACGTTAACTCATCACTATGAATGACGAAGAGAAGCACCCAGACGTTAACTCATCACTATGAATGACGAAGAGAAGCACCCAGACGTTAACTCATCACTATGAATGACGAAGAGAAGCACCCAGACGTTAACTCATCACTATGAATGATGAAGAGATACACCCAGACGTTAACTCATCACTATGAATGATGAAGAGATACACCCAGACGTTAACTCATCACTATGAATGATGAAGAGATACACCCAGACGTTAACTCATCACTATGAATAACGAAGAGAAGCATTCAGACGTGACCACGTTACCCTAACACAACTTCCCTCCTCCTCTTCCTCCTCCTCCCCCAACACTCATCTCCTCAGTAATATGCCAAGACACCTAAGATGCGGCCAGGCTAAGTGTCCACTTGAATATACACCTCCCCAGCCTCTCCCTCCTCCCTTCCCACCAGCGACCGACCCCCCACCACCGCCAGGGCTCAAGAGCTGGGACTCCACAACAGGATGCCATTAAGGATTATGGAGTGAGCAGTGCCTCAAACCCACTCACAGCCTCGTGGCTCTGCCTCCAATGCCAACCTGAGCCCACCTTACCAACACCACCTGGATCCACACCCCCTTGTAACAAGAGATGAACAACCCAGCGGGTTTTCTTCCTATTGGGGAGTGTTGTACATTCTGCTATGGCGGTATGTTCACTCACAAGATGAGTGGCGCTGCCCAATAAACTCGCCCCTCGGGGCAAAATTTAAATTTAAAGAGCTTTTTTGGCCAAAAGATATCCCCAAAAATGGCAATTTAAGACTAATAATCAATCAATTACAAACGTTATACAATCTTCATATCACCAGAATTAAGATAATGAATAACCTCCTTCATATACCACGCCACTTCAGGCGATGAAAACTCTCAATATATTGAATGTTGGAGAGGGTTTGGGTGGTCAAGGATGGCCTTGTGTCGACACTCTTCAAACTCTCACTTGCTCCTGCATCTTGGGGTCCAAGAGCGCCACCTTGGCTCACCCCTAAGTGAAGGTGGTCTCTTACTGCAAACGTCAAACCTATGTTATGACAAGTCGAAGACGGGTCTCTACGTCACTCCATCCAGTCTGTTGCACACACACACAGTAGGGCACAGTTCCTGAGCCCAAGGAGCCCGTCAAACCTATGTTGTGGCAAGTCGAAGACGGGTCTCTACGTCACTCCATCCAGTCTGTTGCACACACACACAGTAGGGCACAGTTCCTGAGCCCAAGGAGCCCGTCAAACCTATGTTGTGGCAAGTCGAAGACGGGTCTCTACGTCACTCCATCCAGCCTGTTGCACACACACACAGTAGGGCACAGTTCCTGAGCCCAAGGAGCCCGTCAAACCTATGTTGTGGCAAGTCGAAGACGGGTCTCTACGTCACTCCATCCAGTCTGTTGCACACACACACAGTAGGGCACAGTTCCTGAGCCCAAGGAGCCCGTCAAACCTATGTTGTGGCAAGTCGAAGACGGGTCTCTACGTCACTCCATCCAGCCTGTTGCACACACACACAGTAGGGCACAGTTCCTGAGCCCAAGGAGCCAGTCAAACCTATGTTGTGGCAAGTCGAAGACGGGTCTCTACGTCACTCCATCCAGCCTCTTGCACACACACACAGTAGGGCACAGTTCCTGAGCCCAGTAGGCTCAGGAGCCAGGAGTTGATTGAAAGTTGAGAGGCGGGACCAAAGAGCCAGAGCTCAACCCCCCGCAAGCACAACCCTGGAAATACAAACCGAAACAGTCTCTATTTTCCGCTTGTTACAACTTGTAATAAAGTTGTTACATCTTGGCTTAACGTGTTTATGACGTATTAGAACGTTGTTACAACTGGCTATATTGGTTGTTATAACTGGTTAGGTGTTAAAACTTGTTCGAACGTTGTACCAACGTCGTAGTTTCGGTGTGTGTTTGGCGGGGTAGGTAAGTACACACACACACATTCTTACCCTTTCATCTAAACACTAAAATCCCCTTTTTTGAAACGCAAAGAATCCCTATACCGCAAGCATTTTTTGATGAGTTTTTGACAATTTTTCGTTTCTGAAGACTTGAGCTTCTGGCTGCTCTACTGACCTCCCATTCACCTCATCGCCTCAACTAATCAAAAAAATATTCAACAGCACCCATTTACATCCTCAAGAGGAGCCGTGACCTCTTATCTTCCCCCTCCCCCTCTTGCCCACCCTCTTGACACCTCGTGTTGATGAGAACACCTAATGAACTACCCAAGACGTTGTGTATATGTGTGTATGTGTGTGTGTGTGTGTGTGTGTGTGTGTGTGTGTGTGTGTGTGTGTGTGTGTGTGTGTGTGTGTGTGTATGTGTTAAGAGGGAGATCCTACAATCTGTGGCTTGATCAGCAAGCCACTTGAGACGTCACTGATCCTGCCTGAGGTGTGGACACTTAGACAACCATCCTGTTGTTGACAGTGATGAGATTTCTGTTGCTGGCATGTGTGGCCGATGATTCAGCTTCCTGGGTGATGATACGGCCTCCTGAGGCGTGTCATCACCCATCACCACCTTTCCGCATGTTGTAAATCTCAAGAACCACACGTTATCAAGCCTTCTTAAGAAATTAATGATGATTCTTAGTTGAAAAGCAAGAGTTTCTCATCATGTTTAAATTTTTAAATTTTGCCCCGAGGGGCGAGTTTATTGGGCAGCGCCACTCATCTTGTGAGTGAACATACCGCCATAGCAGAATGTACAACACTCCCCAATAGGAAGAAAACCCGCTGGGTTGTGTTGAGTGCTTCGAGCGGTGTTCCAGGCAATTTTCCCGACAGTCTTGAGTAAACACGAGCTATTCTGAGAGATAATTACCGAGGCTTCATTAACCACGCCGGTGAAGACAATTACAGAGAGGAAAGCCAGACTATTTTGCAGGCGATGAGTCACAATAACGTGGCTGATGTAGGTTGACCAGACCACACACTATAAAGTGAAGGGACGATTGATTGTTGCCGCTGGAGGCGGCTAGTTTATTGTGCACCCCATACTCATCCTGTGAGCGGTAGTTTATTGTGCACCCCATACTCATCCTGTGAGCGGTAGCGCAAAAGCATTACAGAGGGCACAAAAGGTCTTTATCAGACCTCATCTTAGATTATTACATAAACAATTTAAGGGACGACGACGTTTCGGTCCGTCCTGGACCATTCTCAAGCGATAGATCCACTTGAGAATGGTCCAGGACGGACCGAAACGTCGTCGTCCCTTCATCATTTAGTGTGTGGTCTGGTCAACAAAAGTTACTAAAGTTTCTAAAATGAACTGTTGATCCTGTTTACGGTTAAATATTAGTAAATTTGAATTTAATACTACTGTCCCTAATGATTCCATTAAAGTATAACTTTAAAAGTGTCACACCTTAAGGACACGCTAACGTCACACCATTAAGTCAAGACAAGTTCTTGCAAGAAGTGTCGGACCAACCAGCCTGTAGTGGATATGACTGTGGGACGCTCCAAGCAACAGCCTGTTGGCCCAAGCTCTCACAAGTCGAGTCTGGCCTCAGGCCGGGCTCGGGGAGTATAGAACAACTCCCGAAACCCTCCCCAGGTATGCTCCAGGTAAGCCACACACCTGTAGGCCAAGCTTACCTGGAGGTAGGCTGGTAGAAACTTGCTGGTAGCTACCAACTCCCTAGAGGAAGGCTGGTAGCGACTTATTGGAGCAAGAAATTCCATCGAGACCGGTCGGCCGAGCGGACAGCACGCTGGACTTGTGATCCTGTGGTCCTGGGTTCGATCCCAAGCGCCGGCGAGAAACAATGGGCAGAGTTTCTTTCAGCCTGTGCCCCTGTTACCTAGCAGTAAAATAGGTACCTGGGTGTTAGTCAGCTGTCACGGGCTGCTTCCTGGGGGTGGAGGCCTGGTCGAGGACCGGGCCGCGGGGACACTAAAGCCCCGAAATCATCTCAAGATAACGAGACCTCCACTAATAACGCTTCAAGCATAACCCTAGTAAATATGAGATGAACACAATCTAAGTTATCCACTTAGATAACTATGAACTAAGTTATCCACTTAGATAACATTAACAGCTAAGTGGCGTGTCCAGCCCTGGTGTTGATATCCTGATACTGGAGCAGAGAGTCACGCAGCTCTTGTAAGCTATCATTACTTCGCTGGAGATGATAACGAATATGGGATTAAACATTCCATTACACTAACATGATTTGATATCATTTGATGCTCTCGGACGTAGGTTCGAATCCTCGTCACGGCCCTTGTGGATTTGTTCATTTCTGTTATTCGTCTCGAATGGTAATGGACAGCGGAAGAACAGTTCCTTGAACAAGATAATATCAATAACAATAACAGCCCGTTTTTGTATATTAGAAATACAGTATTGTATTTCCACAAGCTGTCAAAAAAAATCTTTATATTGAATGACATAATAAGTCGTTAAAGCTGTTGTGGAAACATACATTCTGAGACAATTAGGAAGACGCTGAACTGGGAAGTGGAACACTTGAAGAACAAGACATATAATCTGAGTTAAAACTTGGTTAGTTTACAACCCATCTTCCTGAAATTATATTAATTACTATAATAGTTTTAGAGTTATCAGTAAACCACTTTTTTGTACTATTCATTAAAAAAAAGTCTGGAAAAAATAAAGCATAAACCTAAACTTAGGTAAGGTTATCTTGAGGTTATCTTGAGATGATTTCGGGGTTATCTTGAGGTTATCTTGAGATGATTTCGGAGTTATCTTGAGGTTATCTTGAGATGATTTCGGAGTTATCTTGAGGTTATCTTGAGATGATTTCGGAGTTATCTTGAGGTTATCTTGAGATGATTTCGGGGTTATCTTGAGGTTATCTTGAGATGATTTCGGAGTTATCTTGAGGTTATCTTGAGATGATTTCGGGGCTTTTTAGTGTCACCGCGGCCCGGTCCTCGACCAGGCCTCCACTCCCCAGGAAGCAGCCCGTGACAGCTGACTAACACCCAGGTACCTATTTTACTGCTAGGTAACAGGGGGCATAGGGTGAAAGAAACTCTGCCTATTGTTTCTCGTTAGGTTAGGTCTTTTTATATTGCTGTTAAAACAAAAAAAATTTACAACAACGTTTTCACAGCTTTTTTTGTTTGTTTGTGCAAACAAAAGCTTGTGAAATCCAAGTGTTTGTTCCCCTGTATGCTTCCAAGAATACAAGTTTAGTGTAGAGTGAGGCAAAGTAGCAGTGGGCCTCCCACAAGAGGTGGGATCTTGAGGCAGAAACCAGGGTAGAGCCCAGTTTTTTTTTTTTGTTTACACGTAAGAAAAACCCATTTTTTGTTTTTGTTTACCCAGGTGCATGACCTCAAAGGTTGTGTGCTGACCCTCTTGGGCCGCCCTGGTCTAAAAGGGGGTCAATAGCCCCAGCCAACACTTATAGTTCTTCTCCCAGCATTTTCCTTATCTCAAGTGTGGAATTCTTTAATCTTTGGTTAGGTCTTTTCAGGTTAGGTTAGGTCTAGGTTAGGTCTGGGTTAGGTTAGGTTAAGTCTAGGTTAGGTTAGGTCTAGGTTAGGTCTGGGTTAGGTTAGGTTAAGTCTAGATTAGGTTAGGTCTAGGTTAGGTCTGGGTTAGGTTAGGTTAAGTCTAGGTTAGGTTAGGTCTAGGTTAGGTCTAAGTTAGGTCTAAGTTAGGTCTAGGTTAGGTCTAGGTTAGGTTAGGTCTAGGTTAGGTCTAGGTTAGGTCTAAGTTAGGTCTAAGTTAGGTCTAGGTTAGGTCTAGGTTAGGTTAGGTCTAGGTTAGGTCTGGGTTAGGTTAGGTTAGGTCTAGGTTAGGTCTGGGTTAGGTTAGGTTAGGTCTAGGTTAGGTCTAGGTTAGGTTAGGTTAGGTCTAGGTTAGGTCTGGGTTAGGTTAGGTTAAGTCTAGGTTAGGTTAGGTCTAGGTTAGGTCTGGGTTAGGTCTAGGTTAGGTCTAGGTTAGGTTAGGTTAGGTTAGGTTAGGTCTATGTTAGGTCTAGGTTAGGTCTAAATTAGGTCTAAGTTAGGTCTAGGTTAGATCTAGGTTAGATCTAGGTTAGATCTAGGGTAGGTCTAGGTTAGGTCTAGATTAGGTCTAGGTTATGTTAGGTCTTGCGCCTAGTTAATGTACTATAATGTTTATCAGCTGATAATAATAAAAAAAATAGTAATGTTTATATATTCACCTATGTGTGCCTGCAGGATAAAGTTCTTGGACCCCGCCTTTCTATAGCCGTCGAATGTGTAAAGCAATGACTCCTTGTCCTGTTTCCCCTATCATATCAACTTTTAAAATGATGACGAGAGTTCGAGTCGACCATCTTTGGTTCATTCCATTTCTCCACTACTCTTACGCTAACATTTTCTAGCATCTCTATGACTCCTCTCAAGCTTCCATCCATGTTCTTGTGTTCTCTTGGTGTTCATTATGAACATTTCGTCTGTTATGGAAAACGTCCAATATAATAAGTGGGAAACGTCCAACAAAAAAGTCCCCCCAAAAAAGTGGAAAACTCCCCCCTTTTCCAAAATAACTCCTCCAGTTAATTTCAAAGTTGAATAGGAATCTATAATTTCCTCCTCCTTTTTCTTAGATGTAAATGTTCATAACTCTGTATTTGGCGTCTCGCAAGTGTCTATGACCAGTGATATGTATAATTTCTTTTCCTACCATATCCGCCCTCTTAAGAAAAGTATTCCAGTCTTCTTCCTCCGGGTCCTATGTATTAGGGACCCTTACGATTTTGCTTCGGAAATTTCTTTATTTCTCTCGACTTGGCTATTCCTTAGGTGTGGGAGTGGGGCGTCTCATCTTGGGCCACCAGCTGTGGGAGTGGGGCGTCTCATCTTGGGCCACCAGCTGTGGGAGCGGGGCGTCTCATCTTGGGCCACCAGCTGTGGGAGCGGGGCGTCTCATCTTGGGCCACCAGCTGTGGGAGTGGGGCGTCTCATCTTGGGCCACCAGCTGTGGGAGTGGGGCGTCTCATCTTGGGCCACCAGCTGTGGGAGTGGGGCGTCTCATCTTGGGTCACCAGCTGTGGGAGTGGGGCGTCTCATCTTGGGTCACCAGCTGTGGGAGTGGGGCGTCTCATCTTGGGCCACCAGCTGTGGGAGTGGGGCGTCTCATCTTGGGCCACCAGCTGTGGGAGTGGGGCGTCTCATCTTGGGCCACCAGCTGTGGGAGCGGGGCGTCTCATCTTGGGTCACCAGCTGTGGGAGTGGGGCGTCTCATCTTGGGCCACCAGCTGTGGGAGAGGGGCGTCTCATCTTGGGCCACCAGCTGTGGGAGTGGGGCGTCTCATCTTGAACCACCAGCTGTGGGAGTGGGGCGTCTCATCTTGAACCACCAGCTGTGGGAGCGGGGCGTCTCATCTTGAACCACCAGCTGTGGGAGTGGGGCGTCTCATCTTGGGCCACCAGCTGTGGGAGTGGGGTGTCTCATCTTGGGCCACCAGCTGTGGGAGTAGGGCGTCTCATCTTGAACCACCAGCTGTGGGAGTGGGGCGTCTCATCTTGAACCACCAGCTGTGGGAGCGGGGCGTCTCATCTTGAACCACCAGCTGTGGGAGCGGGGCGTCTCATCTTGAACCACCAGCTGTGGGAGTGGGGCGTCTCATCTTGGGTCACCAGCTGTGGGAGTGGGGCGTCTCATCTTGAACCATCAGCTGTGGGAGTGGGGCGTCTCATCTTGGGCCACCAGCTGTGGGAGTGGGGCGTCTCATCTTGAACCACCAGCTGTGGGAGTGGGGCGTCTCATCTTGACATTTCATCACCTGTGCCCATTCTCTCGACCAAAAAGACCTTTCGCCCTCCACCTGCTTCCAAACATTAGAGACAAAAAGAGTTATTTTCATCACATCTGAGCTCAAAACCTCACCAACACACACACGCACGTTCACATTACCATTTACATTCGGAAAGAGTTTCAATACCTCATGATGTAGACTCGTATCTCCAGCTTATCACCTGAGGAGAGTGGCTCCCTCAGCCCTACCCAAGCAGGCGACGCCAGCCCTCCATCTCCTTCGCTCAGGTCGCCTAATTCGGGAATGATTAGGCGGCGTGTCCTCTCTCGATAGCATCTCTGCCTCGTCTAGTTACCCAAAAGGAGGAGTAGGGACTTCTCTTCATATGGCAAGTGATAGGGGATAGGAGAGAGAGGACAAGAGGGGATAGGTTAGTGGTGGTGTTCACTTCTTGAGTGGGATGGCCTCGTGCAGGTGGGGATTACCTGTGCGTCAGAAAGGTTGGTGGGATGCGATTTGCGTCCAAGCGTGCGTCAGGAGGGTAGATGCGATGCGACTTGCGTCCAAGCGTGCGTCACGGGGGTAAGTGGTAGGTGACGCGTCCAAGCATGCGTCAGGAGGGTAGATGATTTACGTCGTTTTGTAAATAAAATATTAGCGAGCGGGATTTTTTTCCCATATAATACAACAGTTTAAAAGATTAGGCTATTGGATTACACGTCAAAGATTAGGCTATTGGATTACACGTCATAAAATAATTCATTTTACTTCATATTATAATAAAAATACGGCATGATATTAGCACCAAACCTACAGGTCAGAAAAAAGTTCAGAGAGAGAGAGAGAGAGAGAGAGAGAGAGAGAGAGAGAGAGAGAGAGAGAGAGAGAGAGAGAGAGAGAGAGAGAGAGAGAGAGCTATAATAAGCAGTTAAGAATGAATGAATAACAACATAATTAACTAAGTGTAATTACCTAACG